CATTTTCAGTTTGCCAGTTAAGTAACTGCTGGTTCTTCAGATGTCTGTGCTGAGCTTAGGGGAAGGGGTTACGTGTAGGAAGTCTCACTCAAGAAACCCAAATTAGCATGGCCAGCATGTGCTGCATGGTAGGAGAGGACAGTACAGACAGAATTTGGTATTGGCAGATATTTTTTATAAAATGATGACTGATGATCAGAGGCATCCCACCAAGGTCAGTGCTATGTAAGGACAGTTTCTATCCTTACTATACTTACTCTATGGTTTTCCTGACCCTGTACAATTATTATCTGTCTCTTTGGACTGCTTACATTGATTGCTCACACTTTCAAGTGTCTGTCAAGCTACAAATCTCTCATGGCCACCAGTCATTAGGCTGCATCTTAAAATAGCTCAACACATGGTGTGACTAGGCCTCGTATACCATTCTTTACATAGGACCCTAAAATGTGTCCTTGTAGTGATGTTACTGTGGTAGAATGCTTTAGCTGCTCTCATTCTTAATCTCCTTGTGAATGAGGCCCATGTGTGAGCTGTTTCATCCTCTGTCTGATGAGTACAGCTTACCAATCCTTGGACTCAACACAGCCAATAGCTGCAACTTAGCCTCCTGGGAGCAGAGCAGATACACCCTCCTGAAGACCCCTTGAAGCACAGTGTTCTTTTTCTATGGGGATGGTCAAAAAATTGGGAATATTCTTGTCCTTGTGGTCTATTTTACTCCCCCTGGTGTTCTGTCTCTCTTTGTGCTCATAGCCAGTGTCACCATCCAATGAGTAACAGTTGCAGATAAGCAGACTCGGGCCTGGCTTGCTTTCCAGATGTGCTACATAGCATCAGGCCATGCACACTCTGAGAGGTCTCCCTGATTCCCAGGCCAGCCTCATGCTCTCAAGCCTTAGCCTTCCAAGTGCTAGACTTGCAGGCATGGGTACCACATGGCACAGGGTGCTTTTCTGTTGAGCAGTGATCTCTGCTCACTCTAGGAGTCAGGGGGAGACAGGACAGTGCAGTGATTCTGTATACTCACTCCCTGCAGTTAGACTCAAGAAGCAAAAGCTTTTGAAAGCTGGATTCAGAATGCCCAAGTGTCTTTATTAACCTACCTTCCCACTGCATAGAGAGACTTTTCTAGTAAGTTTTAATCTTATAAAATCTTTTTTTTTTTCTCCTTAGGCCAGAGGAGAAAAACCAGTGTCTAGAGGCTAAAAACTTAGGTATACAGTGATATTTTTCCTATTTGTCCATAATTAAATGCAATTTTATCCATTTAGAAATACAATGGTTGTGGCTACATTAGATAATGCTGGTGAAGGGATTTTTTTTTTTTAAGTGCAATGAGCTAGCATTTAATTTTACTCTTTAAGTTAAAAGTTCCTGGGATAGTCAAGTGAACAATATAAATATTTGCAGAATTGTCTCATGAAGTAGAAATGATTTTATTCTCAAGCACTAGCTATTTTCTTGTTATTTTTCAAAATCAGCACTAAGCCTTTTAAAGCTTCTGGTGCTAGGATGTAGGGAAAGAATTCAGGATACTAATCTTGTGATGTGTTTCAGAGGTCCATGGCCTGGAGGGGGCACAATCAGGACAGGACATTTAGGACATTGTTCAAGCAAGGGGAAGGTCCTCTAGAACTAGAGCCACTTTCTCTGGGGAGGACAAGGTGGAAAGAGGGAAGTTAGTTCTCAATGTAGAAAGTCATGTTTTTATGAGATGTAAGACAGTACCATTCAGGATCATGTCATATTCGTGAAAATTACTTTCTGAGGCACATCTGAGAACAGGCTTTTTTTCATGACAAGTTATTATTACACATCATTACTAATTCTATTAATTACATTTATCATTGCTGTGACCTGACAAAAACCACTTAGCAGAGGAAGGCTTTATTTTGGCTCACAGTTTGGGGATGTGGAGGTCCATGCTGGTGGAGGCATGAGGCTGCTTGCTCACTTCTTGGAGGACCAAGAGCAGGGAAAAGGGGGTGCTGGCACTCAGCTGGTTTTCTCATTGTTTCCCTTTTATTGAGTCAAGGACCCCAGCCCAGCCGTTGGATGTAGGGCTATCCAAATTCAAGACAGATTTTACTGCCTCAATCTTTTCTAGAAAGATCCTCACAGACACAGCCCAAAGATGAATCACTAAGGCCCTATGAGTTTCTTAATCCAATCAAGTTGACAACCAAAGTTAGACATCATACTAACTTATGACCCATACCTTTCAGGGTGGAACTTGGGACAGTATTTTATAGTTCAGCCCATTTTTCAATTCCCAGGTCTTAAGGATGCCATTTTAGTGTTAATAATGGGTTTTTCTCTGTAACTTCCACCAACTCACAAGTTACAAGTTGACTTAAAGAAAAAAGAAGCTGAGTTTTGTGTAGAAGAAAAACTGTCCTTATTCAGAATGAAGAGCTGCATCCAGTCTTTCCCACTCCTCCCTGCCACATGAAGTAGCATTCCCTCCCCACCTCTATTTTCTTTCTTCCTTTGCTTTTGTTGTTGTTGTTGTTGTTCTCCATTGAGAAAATTTTCCATTTCTTAGAGTACAAAGCAATTTCACTCTCACACACCAGGTTTTCTTCCTATAGTCCTATGGATGCTAAATCAGATTGCAGTTTAATTTGCATTCCTTCAGAGGTCTTTATATCTGGGAGTGGTTTGGACATCCTTTGGGGTCTGCCTGGGGAGCTCAGCACAAATTGATCACCATTGAGACTCAGAAGAGGCACTGGCCTACAGATTACAAGAAAAAAGCTCACTCAGAATGTGTACACCTCGTGTGCTTCCAGTCCTCCGCGGGGGTTTGGCTCAGCCTGGCTCTGCAGACGCAGAGGTGATGTGTGCATACTAGTGACTAGAGCCTTGTGCCTGTCTTCTTTTTAATATTTAGTCTTTTTCTTCTTTTCTCCCTGAATCTGATATTTCCCTTCAAGATGAACAAAAACAGATCTGTGTTCCTCCTGGTCACCTTTCAGATATTAGTCTGTCATTTATCAGCTTAGTGTTGAAACTTTTAACAAGAAAAAGTTGTTTATTTAACTTTGAATGAGGCGTGATTTAGCCAGGGGTGCCTTTATATATAAGTTCAAAAACTTTGAGATTCTCCTTGAATTAAGTAGACTAGATATTTGGCTGATGATTCAGCCAACTAAATCGTTTTTCTACTTTTTTCTATATAAGACATATCCTGATTTCTGGGAAATGAGTAAACTCTAAGCACTGCTCTAAAAGTCTCCAGAAATAGTGTTTACTCAGAGAAGCCCACACTGTGGGAAGCTTTTGGGAAGAGAGAGGCTCTGAAGTTGAGCCACTTATTTGCAGAAGGAAAAAGAGAAAGAGGATGAAAAAACTAGTAACAACAACAAAGGCCCTTTTTAGATTCGAAGAAACATAGCGTCTCTCTAGGTGTTTATTTTTACTTATCCACCAAGCATTTTCTCCACAGTCTGTAAGCGGATACTCTTTATGGCTTACACACACATACACACACACACACACACACACACACACACACACACACACACACACACACACCCCTGCCAACAAAGTTATTATAACAACTATTGCCTATTTTCCCAGGAAAAATTTAATGTCAGCAGCAGCAGAAGAGGGGGATGTGATTATGAGACTGAGGTTTAGCATGCTCCAGATAAGCAGCTAGATATTTCATGCAGAAGAGGCAGCCTTTGTTTTTAGGAAAATGAGAGTAGACGTTGATAATTCAAGAATACAACGGAAAGCAAACAAAGTGTCTGGTTTTTTACAATTACATAATTACCCAAGTAATGTATACTTCCTATGCGGCACATGGAGCCTGTGCTGACATACTGCTTGGAAAACTAAACAGCCAGGTTAAAAGAAAGTCTTAGAATTTATTTTTGCCGAACACCTGTCCCTTTTTCATTCTCCAAGTATAGTGTTGGTGGACGAGACTTTGATGGTCAAAGTAGAAGATGATTGAAGTTACAGAAGTGTATATGAAACACTTCTGTTCCTTGCCCCTTGAACTTGAGGCAGGCAGTGTCCAGCACATTCTACCTCTCCTCCCTGGTGAACTTGAACTGTAATTGAAAGCCTGCTCCTCATTACAGGGCCTCACAGCCCATCTCGCTGCAGCTTTGCTTACAAAGCCACTCAGAGAACTCACTGGCCTAAAGACAGACAGTAATGTGCGTAGATGGAATATAGTCTGCTTTATAAACAGAAGCTTGATATTGGTAGGACAGTCTTCCTGCTGACCCTCATTATTAAGGTAGAAAGAGAATCCAGTTTGCAAATATGAAACAGGTTAGTTGTCCTCACCTGCCACAGGGCACAGAGAAGAGGAGGAGTGTGCACTCACCTTCTGTCCAGCTGAAGAGCCTGATGGGGTTTATAATGCCACATGTGGTCTTTTGGGTTTACACAGTGATAGAGGGAAAGAGCCAACTCTGAAGACCTGAATTTTAGTATGCTTCATCAGTCAGCACATTTTAGGTTGGAGAAAGGGAAAAGGGGGTGTGGGAAGGCTCCTCTGCTAGTGTTTTCAGAACTTGGATGCTTGACAAGCAGAGCATCAAGCTAATTGTTCTTAAAGCAGGAAGTCTGCAGTGGAGGAAGCAGGTGTTGGGAGATGATTACAGCATTTTGAAATTACCGTGTTGGCTTTTTTGCTCTGTGGAGTTGTCACCAAAGCATCAGTGGGCATTTGGGAAGATGCTGGCCCTCCTACCTGTAGACCAATACTGAATCAGATGTATGTCCAGGAAAACATGCTTAAGCACATTTGGAACCAGGTAGCCTACATGCAGCAATGTTTCCAGGATCCATTTTCCTTTATTTCTTTTTCTTTCTTTTCGGCTTTTAGCATCCCACACTTTCAGAAAACTTGTGACAAAGAGTGAATTCTTATTTTTCAAATTGTTTTCAGACATTTCATGTTCATGTAATCTTGGCTTATTGATTTCCTGATTTTTTCTTTATTTTTTTGTTTTGTCCATTTTATTTTTAATCAGCTACATCAAATGGGTCTTTGGAGGGCCTGGATAACCAGGAGGGAGGGGTGTGCCAGACAAGAGCCATGAAGATCCTCATGAAAGTTGGACAAGGTAAAGACCACCTGCTGCTTTCTGAAGCCACTGTGATCTGGTGTAGCCCCAGCTAGCGTGGCACCCATGTTGATGCTCACCATCACCCCTCTTCTTAGTTTTCTGCACCTTGAGCCAGTGACAGTCCCCCAAGACAATGTAGTCAACTTCTCTTACTGGCGATCTCTCTAAAAGTTAAGGTCAGCCAGGCCGAATATCTATCTGTTGCCATAGATGTGTCTATTTCTTTTTATAAAGCAAAACACCTCTTTGATTCAAAAATCAAAATACCCAGAACGTAAACAATAGTTCTGCAGTTTTGCTCATTTTCAAATCTTGACGACCAAAGAGTCGTGTTTTCACGTAGAATAACCTATTGTGCAGAAAGAAAGAATTATTCCTCTAATTAGAAGCCGGTGTAGTAGTCGATCAACATGCTCAGTTAAATTGAAATGTCATCTGTGATGCTCTGCCTGCCAAGTGCAAGAATCCCTGTAGTTTCCACAGATGGCATCCCCATCTAAACCTCTGAAGTAACAGTATAACCGTTTTGTTTGAGAAGGAAGATTATATTCTTGTATTTCACAGTGCTTTGCATAAAGAGTCTTATGTTCATTGCTATTCGTGCCTCTTGAGATATCTATACAGATCCTGCAGCTAGCTATTGTCAGATGTCTGCGCTGTGATTAATCATTTGCTCTTCATATAGATGCGAGTTCTGCTGGATCAACCAGGAATAATGATCCAACAAGACGTCCAGAACTAGAAGCTGGTACAAATGGAAGAAGTTCAACAACAAGTCCCTTTGTAAAACCAAATCCAGGTACAGCAGCGTGGTAGGGGTGTCTTTGAGTCTGTGGGGTCCAGTCTTCTTTAGAACCTAGAGGGGCAGAATTGTGTCAAGGTGCTTCTACACCAATGGGATTTACTAGAAGCTACAGATATCAGGAATGTTTGCTCTCAGTGAGTTTGTATTAACTATGCCAATAAGACAGGCCAATTCATCCTGTGAAAATCTTACAATCACAAGAGCAGAGCCTGTCAGATGTGACAGTTGTCAGCGGTGTTCCTTCAGACTGCTTTTCATTGGCTGATGCTGTATCCTACTCACTGTCAGCCTGAAGCCGATGTTAATGTATATATAACTCGTGCTGTAATCCCTCGTCTAATCACATCTAATCTGCAAAGAGCCTCACTGATCCTTTTCTGAGATTTAGAAAATGCTGCCTAATGGTACATTTTCCAGGTGGCTATTCAGAATGTTTTTCACATTTTCTGTGTAAAATAAAATATTAAAGGGACCACTGACCAAAGCGTAGCATGCCGTATAAAATGGACTGTCAGTGAGCTCATTTTCTCAATGGTTCATTGTGCTGAGGTCTGTTTCGTGGAGTAACTGGAGTATACATCAACACTTTTGTATCAGGGAGTCTGTGTGCTTGTTGGCGATGGTGAGAATGCATCTGCAATGATATTCCATCTCTTTCCGAGAGTCAAGGAGGGAAGTTTTTTGTTGTTTTTTTTTCTAACTTTCAATGACAAGATGTGTCAGATTCTTGTGACAAATTGATAAATGGATGGGATGATGGTGCCAGGCAATTCTTTAGTGCTAACATTTGGGTTAGCAGACTGTTCAGACCCGAGCGTCTGCTACCTTCCAAATATATTTTTAAATGTAAATCAAATAATACAACTGAATTAGGAGTTAAACCTTTTCCTGGGCCCCATCACTCCTTCCTTTTGTGGTGTTCCTCTGCTCCTAGGCAGGGCTTTCTGTAGAAGGCAGGGATTTGAAGATGCAGATGACACAACCCTTTCTAGAGGGAAGGGAAGAGCAGGCCTGGGCAAGGCTAAGCCCTGCCCTGGAGTGGAAGCAGCTCCCGATTGTGCCTGGGTGAAGCCTAAGGGAGATGCAAAGCTGACTGTCGGGCCAGGCCTCCTGCAAATGGATGATGGTTCAGAAAAAGGAAGAGGAATGGTTGAGGGTGGTGGCTGAGCTTTGGACCAGCAGCACTCTAAGTCTCTCGTTGATCACCGACCGGTACATGGGTATTTAGATAATAAACAGGGCCCAGAAAGTCAGCCTGCCTGTTGAGTCCTTGGTTTGGCATTTTTGAAGGTCCCGGAGGCAGCCGGGCAGCCCTGGGGATGGCGATAACGGGTTCTACTTGCTTTTACCCAGGTTCCAGCACCGACGGCAACAGCGCCGGGCATTCCGGGAACAATCTTCTCGGTTCCGAAGTGGCCTTATTCGCAGGGATTGCGTCAGGATGCATCATCTTCATCGTCATCATCATCACGCTCGTGGTGCTGCTGCTCAAGTACCGCCGGAGGCATCGCAAGCACTCTCCACAGCACACCACCACGCTGTCACTCAGCACGCTGGCCACGCCCAAGCGCGGTGGCAACAACAATGGCTCGGAGCCTAGTGACGTTATCATACCGCTAAGGACTGCGGACAGCGTCTTCTGCCCGCACTACGAGAAGGTCAGCGGGGACTATGGGCACCCGGTGTACATCGTGCAGGAGATGCCACCGCAGAGTCCCGCCAACATTTACTACAAGGTCTGAGGCCCGGGACCTGCGCCTCCCGTGGGAACTCGTCCCCTGGTGCAGGGACTGCCTGAGCCCAGCCGGGGCCAGATGCTTCCTGAAGAGCCTCGAGCTGGACAGCTTTCTAGTCTGTAGCTTTTCGGCTGGCCGCGGGGACCACAGACCCTCCCCTGAAGCTGGAAGACTGCTAGGAGATCCCCGCACGGACCTCCAAGCCATGTACCCAGCCACTCAGGCCTCTGCAGAGCCCGGGGAGGACTCGGCGGGCAATGGACGGAGCCACAGCATCTTGGAAGTAGGCTGTGCGCCAGGCCAGCCTCTGCCTCCATGTCTCCCGCCATGAGCACTGGACTTGTCACTTGGACCTTGGGCTCAGTAAGGTTTTCAAAGATCTCTAGCATTTAGTCCTCACTCACTCCTTATGTTACCAGGGCTCTGACGCACCTCCCTAGACCTCTCACTCACATCCTGCATCTCTAAGGGACGCTCACCAGAGTCCCGGCTCCACCCTTTACACCACCGTCCAGTTAGATGGGTATCCCTGTGAGGCCTGGGAGCTGTGGAAGGGCGAGAAAGTGGAGGCATGGGGCGAGTCAAGGTTGCGCCCCTAGAGCAGAGTGTGGAAGGAAGAGGGAGCAATAGGTAGCGCAGTGCTTTCATTTGCTGAGAGGAAAGAAGCAGGTGGGAGACAACACAGGTGGCAGACTGCGGGTGGGTTTGCTGGGAGACACTCGTGGTTGTCACACTGCTAAGCTAAGTGCAGGGAAACAGAGTCCCTCTCCAGCAATGGAACAAAGAGGCCATTGTTGAGAAAGGACCAGCCAGGGCAGGGAGGGAGCAGGTAGGCCCCTGGTGATGTACTGGGGAGGACTGTGTGGTACTGGCAATAAGACATGCAGCTCTGGAGCTGCAGGAGAGTCGTCTGCTTTGGGTGATGTTTTAAGCAGACTCAGCTGCTATACTTACTACATTTTATTAAACACAGGGAAAGCATTTAGGAGAATAGCAGAGAGCCAAATCTGACCTAGAAGTTGTAAAGCCAAAGGTCAAACAGGCTGTAAGTCCATCACCACTGAGTTACTGGAGAATTCCCATTATGAAAGGTAGGTCAGAACCCTGTCCCCCCAAGTACCCCTCCCCCTCCCCAATGGAGCCTTACACTATGTTTTTTAGTTTATGGCTGTGCTGTCCTAGCTGCGAGGCTGCAGGGAGGTACTGAGGAGCCACGCCTGGGCTCGGTGTTAAAATAAAGCACACGTGGTCCACCTCTTAGACTCCTTAAGAAGAACAGTAAGTTATGACAAGGGGAGGAGGAAATAGGACATATTTATAATAAGTATATAGAACACAGGGGATATAAAATGAAAGATTTTTACTAATATATATTTTAAGATTGCACACAATACACACCAGAAGATGTGAAATTCATTTGTTATGGCAATTAAAGTGATCCCAATACTTAGTGCTTTAAAAAAAATTAAAATTGGACAACTACTTCTGGGAAAAACAATATCACTCCAAAGATATCAATAACGCAAGCAAATAACAAAAGTGACAAGGTCCTGCAGGCATCTCACAGAACTCTAGACTAGCAGATACAAGCCCCCAAGTACCAGGAGCTCAATGTGACTGCAGCAATGACAAGATGTGCGGGCGTTATTTTCTGTGTTGACTTTTCCCTTGCCTTATAGGCTGAAGTGTTCTCTAGAATCCAGCAGTTCACATGGAGGGGGATCCAGCTGAAAGTTTGACTGTGACTCCCTCCTCCTCTCCTTCCCCCGCTTCCCTGCCCTTCCAGAAACAAGAAGAGTAAACAGCAAACCTACTTTTTTTTATGTGCTATGCAAAATAGACATCTTTAACAGAGTCCTGTTACTATGGTAACACTTTGCTTTCTGAATTGGAAGGAAAAAATTGTAGCGACAGCATTTGAAGGTTCTCAGACCTCCAGTGAGTACCTGCAAAATTGAGTTGTCACAGAAATTATTATTCCCTGGTTCCTGAACCTGAAAATGATGTTGGTTCAATGTGTGTGTATGTGTGAGTGGGTGTGTGGTACACGTGTGTACATATATGTATAATATATATCTCCAATATATATTATATATATCTATATCATATTCTGTGGAGGGTTGCCATGGTGACCAGCCACAGTACATATGTAATTCTTTCCATCACCCCAACCCCTCCTTTCTGTGCATTTATACAAGATTTTCTTGTAAGCCATCAAAAGTTACTTGTAGGAAGGGGGAAAGGTGAGGCGGGAAGAAGTGGGACACCTTCTGATTTTAATGAAATCAAATGTCTGTATCATCAGTTGGCTACATTTTGGTTTTATGCTAAACTGTGAAAACGCAAATGAATTGATGAAGAGTTACCTGCAACCAATTGAGAAGTGTTCTGTGCGTCTGTTTTGTGTCTGGTGCAGAAAATGACAATCTACCAACTGTCCCCTTACTTGGAGTTGGTTCAGCTTTGGAAAGTTACTGTAAATGCCTTGCTTGTGTTCACATCCCTAGTCATCTGACTTTGGAACGCGCACCATCATGTATAAGTGAGGATGCTGTAAATAGGTTCAGATTCACTGTCTATGGATTCGGGGTGTTACAGTAGCCTTATTCGCCTTTTTAATAAAAATACACATGAAAACAAGACAGAAATGGCTTTTCTTACCCAGATTGTGTACATAGAGCAATGTTGGTTTTTTATAAAGTCTAAGCAAGATGTTTTGTATAAAATCTGAATTTTGCAATGTATTTAGCTACAGCTTGTTTAACGGCAGTGTCATTCCCCTTTGCACTGTAATGAGGAAAAAAAATGGTATAAAAGGTTGCCAAATTGCTGCATATTTGTGCCGTAATTATGTACCATGAATATTTATTTAAAATTTCGTTGTCCAATTTGTAAGTAACACAGTATTATGCTTGAGTTATAAATATTTTTTTTCTTTGTTTTATTTTAATAGCCTGTCATAGGTTTTAAATCTGCTTTAGTTCCACATGACAGTTAGCCCCAGAAAATGAGATCCGAGCAGTCACATTCCACGTCTGTTTCAAACTGAATTTGTTCTTAAAAAAATAAAATATTTTTTTCCTATGGAAAAAATGCCTTCAAAGTATTTTCCTTTCCTTTTTATTTTTTTTTCTTTTTCTTTCTTTTGTGTTCCATATTTTGATTTTTCCCCCTTTTATTCTCTCCAGCTCCAGAGTTACATAGAGTTCTGCTAATGGATACTTGTGTACCCACACCTCAAGTCAGGCCATGCATATAATTCGAATAGAATTTGGTAAAGCCCTGATCACCTCATGAAATAGTCACCCACACAGTGAACCGAAGAAAAGGGGGAATTTATTCTGCTACCTCATTGCAGGTGGATTTCATGTCCATGTCAGCAAAGCACTTCATAGGATTACCCCAAGAGAAAAGAGGTCAGTGTTCTTGGTAAAAAGTTTAAGGAAAACACGTCATGATAATGGATTAAGGCAAACCAGAAGCCAGCGGTGAGATTAGAAATGTGGGACTGGGGAGAGATGCCTTAGTTGCTATAGTGCCTGCCATGCAAGTATGAGATCCAAGCCCCAGCACCTATGGAAAAGTTGGGTATCTTGGTACACCTGGAACTGGGGGGCTGTCCAATCAGCGTGGAATGAATGAGCCTCGGGTCCAATGAGAGACCCTATCTCAAAAAATAAACATGGAGGCTGATCAACGATACAGATCTGTTGTCAACCTCTGGCCTCCATGCACACATTGGGCACATGTACCAGCAAGCAGGTGTCACACCCCTACACCAATAAGTATATATAACACACAAATTATTTTTTAAACGAGGCATATTTTTAATGTGCTCCTCTTGGGGCTGGTGACCGGGCTTCTGAATGTTAGAGTATTTTCTAGGCTTAGCATGGTTTACAGGTCTTAGGCTTCACTCCCTGGAGAACTTTTTAAGAGTGAGAGTTCAGTCCACAGGGGGTTAGTGCTATTGGTTGATAGCCACCTTATCTCAGCTAATCCTTATGCTAAAGAGTGAGGTATCTTAGGTTGGAAAAATACAAACGTCCCTGGCATCAGCAAACAAACTAGAGGATTTCTCAGCCATGAGTGCCTTGCATAGGATCATAGATAGCTCCAGCAGGTTGAGGAACCAACCCCCTCCCCACCACCTGGGTAGCAAAAGTTCCCCAGGAGAAAGGGCTGAAAACCTGTGTGGGAACAAGGGATCTGTGCAGCTTCAAGCTAGCTAGCACTGGCCGTCAGGAAACGTTTGATGAGTAAATGCACCTCACACACCAACAGCAAAACCCTTGAGACACATGGTCTTAGTAGATCCTAGGAGTTTTTTATCTCCAGTATTTTTCTGCAGCACTGAACTGCCCCTGGGCTGCAGATTTAAGTTTCATGATACGATTTACAGCCAAGTTACTAAACCAAACCCTCAATTCTGTGTACCAAAATTGTTTATATTTAGTGTGAGTGAAAGACAGAGATAACAGGTGCTACATTTCCAACTTTTGACTTTGGGGCCTGCATCCCCATGAAAAATTTCCAAATACACAATGTCATTGTTTCTACCTTTCCCTTGAGATCATATTTCCCATATGCGTTAGCCAGGATCAGTAAAGAGAGAACCTTATAAGCTGTGACCGAGTGTTTTTACTGGGGAGAAGGAATTGCAGTTTACAGAAGCTTCTTGTGGGATGACATCCAGGTGTTCTTGGTCCTATCTGAAAGTTAAGCTTGCTTTTGAACTACCCCGGCAGCCAGCTTCCAGATGCCCAGCTCTCACCATTGTCCGCTCCTTCTTTGCCAGGAGGTCCTCATTCAAACACAGGAAGAGGTTTGCAATGGTAAGGGGAAAGATCAGTGAAATGTTGCTCACTAGTTAACTGCCAGTCTGCTCTCTGTCAGACTCCAGAGCCAGCCAGGAGAAGAGTCAGCAACTGAAAAGTAATAGAATTCAGAGCAGTCACTTCTAACTGTGTGCAAAAATGGACAGTTGACTTATTTCCCTTTGGGTTAGCAAATATGTCTT